GGATTTATGTATTGTTCCCTAAAAATTTTCAAATATTGAAATGCTGATCCCTGACATCTTTTTAATAATAATGAACGCACTTTATCTTTTCACAAGCGTTATATTCGTTTGGCCAGCCTACTTTAACCTAATATGACTCTTACTTAGTACTATGCTATGGACAAAGCTTTAGGCCCATATTAGTATTCCATTAAATTTGGTATTTCATTGAAATACATTTTTTACATATTTGTAACACTCCACATAGTAAAATTGAACAAGACAATTTAGTGTGGCAATAGGCAGAATCGAGTCCACTCATCTCAATCCTATGGACGAGTTGAGCTTGGCTCATTTCCAAATCCTAGGATTGGATGGTTCTTTGACTCGTGAGCCTTGTAGAAAAATACTCGTCAATCGACCATCACAAAAGAAAACTATTTATATCAAGGCAACTATGTAACAAATTATGCATGCGTGACATGATAATACGTTGTGATATTGTATTGCTTTCATTTAGTGCCCACATGGCTAGTCATTCTAGTAAAAAGATGCACTTGGACATATGAAAGGGTATGCAGACGCAATTATTGGACATAATCTAGACCAGAAAGCTATGAGAACAATTAAATTGTAAAATATATTGGTCTAATGATCTATTTGGCACGATTCTTGAAAAGTCAGAAGTTTATTTTGAGATTAAAAAGTCGCTTTTGAACATATATTTGGATAATTTTCTGAAAGTATTTCGTCTGGTTAAAAGATTTTTTAAAGAAAAATAACCTAAAATAGCTCTCTCATGCTTTTCTACAAGAAGTAGAAACCTTGCTAAACGAGTCATAAATTACAACCAAAAAGTCTCTATATAAATCCTTCCTCGTTAAATTTGAATTCGGAATAACTTTGCCCTACATTTGAAAAGGCAAATATAAAGTTCAAGGATAATTTTAACTCTATATAATGCTGACGTGTATTATAAAATAGATACCACACACTTTTCAAAATCCTTAACATTGTAGGTCCACCACATGAGATAACATCCACTTAAC